CTGAGTAAGGTGGTTGGTGATTTCCAAAGTTTGACACCATCTTTATTGTCCTTAGACTGAGGTCTGCCAGCTCTATTTTTACTAGAACTAATGGATGTTTTTATTACATTACTTGCATTAAAGAAAATTTCTATTATTAATAAAACTGTTACCGCAGTTGTACCAAATATATTGACTGCACTGTTTACTTCTCAAGCACACCATCATACCTACAGTAGAATGGTTGACAAAAGAATGAAAGAACTGCAGTGGTAACGCCTGGTCAAGGTCCAGACCTCTCCTTGAAGGAGTAGTAACAGATCTAACAGTTTATGATAATAATAGTAATAACTGGATGATTGTTTACAAGTGCTGCAGCCTCTGCACTGATAAGGGTAACCCCACAGTGCCAACATTTGTATACCTTACAGCCTCTGTCAGTGCGCCCCAGGGTGGCTGTGGCTACAAAGTAGCTGCCATCACCAGTGTGTGAATGGGGATGACTGGATGTGTAAAGCGCTTTGGGGTCCTTAGGGACTAGTAAAGCGCTATATAAATACAGGCCATTTACCATTAGAAATAATCGTCACTGGCTCATAGTAAAGCTAGTTTCCAGAAACATTACCGAATGTGGCCACAAGATGGCACTCATTTACAGGAGCAATAAAGCTTTTATGTGACAGAACTCTGCTAGGAGTTGCACAGTGATCACTTTCTCTTTAGTATATTTAATATATATTTTTGAATATTACACTGTTTAAGCACCACGGCATACATTGTTTCTTGATTTCTATGTCAGATCCACCCCTCGCTTGTCATGTCCTATAAAGACCAGGATGGTGATGATAAAAATGCTCAGCTTGAGGCTTCCCAACAGGACCTCACAAACAGCAGCATGACTAAAGTTGATGTAGCAATAGCTAACTTAGTTAGTGAGTGTGACTGACTGCCAGGCTCAAAATCAGACACATGATTTAACTTTAAAGTCAGTGGAAACATCAAATTACAATGAAAAACATCCCTTCAGATGGCAAAGACAAAATGGCATGACATTGCATAAATATGTACTTTTTATTTGTTTTGACACAGAAAAATAGGAAAACGCAAATCACACTTGATGGTGTACAGCATTTGTAAAAAATGCTCTGTGGTGTTTAGTGTGTTTCTCCTCCGAGAGCTTAATCCAGCGGGCTCCTTCTCTCCAACCTTCTGCTCCGTATCACTTCCTCCTACAAACGAGTGACGACAACAACAGGTGAGAAGGGTAGCCGGCTAAAGCTATGTTACAAGTAACAAACACTGTTTACTACCAAGCTTCCAGTACAATCCAGCATCGACTGCCATCCGGACACACAGTTAAATACCTCAGCCCACAACGAAGGATGATCAGTGACAAATTAGGTGCAGGTGTGTCAGCCACTGGGTGGAGGAGGAGAGAGAGAGAGAGAAGCACACACATACACACACAGGCAGGTCGCCCCGGGAAGGACCGTCCGACCATGACATCATGTGTCCAAAGACAGCAAAGTCATGTCCAAAATCATATGAAGCTGAACAGACTTCAGATCAGAAAGAAATGAAAGGAACTTGTGTGGGTCAGTCTTTTTCTGCAATCACCTGCAGTGAAGTGACAATGAAATTAAAGAATTTGGAGCTTTTTGTCACTGCTGTTTATTGCACTGTATGTTTTAATGCAGTTAGCACTAAACTGAAATTAGACCACACAAATCCACTGTTGGCTTAATAAAATCTTTATAAAGAACAAAGCTAATTTCACGAAGTATCTCAGAGATTTCGTTTTTGACAAATCATTGTAATAAAAGACATGAACAGATCCACAGGAAACAATTTAAAAGTATCCATAACTCATTGAGCACACTGTCAAAGGCTGACGAGGTGCATGTAAGCTACCTGGATTTCATCCTAATCATTTCAAATTTTACTTTTTAAACAAATGGAGACCATAAGTACAAATGCTATAGAGTAAAGCAACATTTCCCAGTGTGACTGACCAGTCTCAGAGTGTCTCAGGTGTCGCCCAGTAACCTACACAGAAGTGTTCACTGTGGCTCCAGCACTTATTCAACAGAATAAGTAACAAGGTATTAGTCTTCAGGCTGAAGGTCAAACAGATGTTTAAAAAATTTTTTTGCTGTCCTTCTGCAATCCACTCTCTTCATCCACTCACTGCAATATGAAGCGATAGACTTTTTCATATCGTCATCCATATGTGTCGTTATATCAAACAGCCCTATTTTGAACTCTCCTCGTCCTTTGAGTGTGCAGTTGCCTTTGTTATATAGCAAGGTATTTAAAATGAATAAATAAATATCCCGTTCATTTCAATACGCATGATCTGAGCATGCGCGGAATGACACGGAGCTATTCTTTGATCCTTTGATCTTCTCAAAGGGGAGACTGTGACGTGACGGTCGACGTCACCATCTCTGCCACATGAGTCCATAAATAGAGGTGCTTTAACACAGTTTACCTTGGTGCTTTT